AAGCCTCCGAGAGAACTCCGCGCTCATTTCGCAATGAGCGCCTCTCTACGAACACCAGCGTTTTCACCAGTGTCCGCGTCGACCTCAGAGTCGACGCCTGCGGCTGATCCCGCGTTCGCACCGACCTCTGTGTCGGTGCCTGCTTCCGTGCCTGTGTCGGCGGCAACGACGACACCCCCAAGTGGCACGACAGAGAACTTCTCTGTCGACAAGTACTTCGAGCTCCAGGAGATGAACCTCGCTAAGGATGCCAAGACAGTCTGTCCGTCGACTGTCTTCGAAGGTTCGTTGGTCCTCTCGACCGACGGTGGTATCCCCGTGGAACGTGCCACGGGCAGAGCTATGCGTCTGTCGGCGGCGTCGGACGCTTTTCATATGGTCAATCCCGGGTTGACCAAAGGCTTCTGTCGTTCTGAGAAGCAAAACTTTCGCGTCTTGGACAACGCCCAGCACTTGAGAGCTGAACCCCGGGTTCAGCTCGTTGACCGTGTTTGCGTCTGTGCCCTGCACAGACTCGCACCTTGTGTTCGCATCAGTCCCAGACTGTGCGTGGCTCTTCGTAGCGTCAGTGCCTGGCACTGACGTATTACTTGTGCTCCCAGCAGGCCCCGCCTGTGTGTGAGTCTTCTCTGTATCAGTTCTCAGCACTGATACTACATACGTGATCGCAACAGACCCTGTCCGTGCGTGACACTTCTCTGTATCAATACCCTGTATTGATGCGTCACTTGTGCTTGCAGTAGTTGTTCACAGTGTCAGTGCTCGGCACTGACACGTCACTTTGAGCCACAACGTGGCGCTGTCTCGTGCGGGCTCTCGCTCTCGCACATAACTTCACTGGGTCAGTGCTGGGCACTGACACATCTTCTTCTGAGGCATCGGTCTGCCTTGTGTGGGCTCTCGCTCTCGCACATGTCCTTACAACTGATATGTCCGTATCAGTTGTCTTCTGCGATTGATCGACATCAACCGTAGCGCCCCTCCCCCACTTAAAAAGGAAGACACCGGTCTTCCTTACATTGTAAAGTAGACGTGCACACGGTACTAGTGTGCACTTGTTCGTAAGTGAGAGGCCAACTTCCGACGTACCGTGTCGGAAGGAGCTGAGAGAAACTCGATCAGCTCTTGCGTCTGCGTCAAGTGCAAACGCAGCCTTCTCCGTGGAAAATTAATTCG